TTGGCTCACTCCTTCTCTAAACCCAAGCATATTGCTAAAACAGAGGTTGAGAGATTCTTTTTTCCCATAAAGAGCCCTGTGGTTTGGGGTAGAAACAAAGAAATATTTTTATTTAAAAAAGGTTGATTTATGGAATGAGCACAGGACATGGTCCCACTGCTTAGATGCCACCCAAACTGATCAAGCCAATCAACTGTCTCACCTATTCAGAGGGCCTGATCCAGCTGGGAGCCCCTCAGTCTTTGGTTCATAGTTCATGTGTTTCCATTCATTTGGCTATTTTTTTTCAATAATTGAGTAAAACTGAAATTTATTATATGCCACAGTCGTCCTAGGGACCTCCATGCTATATATATATAGCCTCTATGTCTGGGAGGAAGAGACTGGACCTCCCTGGACTGAGTCTACCAAGTCGATCACAGTCCTCGGGGGAGGACTTGTCCTGGAGGAGGTGGGAATGGAGGGTGGGCTGGGGGTAAGGGGAGGGCTTGGGAGGGGGGAGAATAGGGGAACCCATGGCTGATATGTAGAACTGAATGGTATTGTAAAATAAAAAATATATATCACAAAAAAAAATGGTTGATTTAAATACAATCTCTTTCTGAAAATAAAAGTGGGGGATAGGACATAGATATGATAGGAAAAAATGGATAGATAATTGAATCTACTTTAAAGAACAACTTGTTTAAAATATTTTATATTGCTACAGATTTTGGTTATTGATATAAGTTTAAAATTAATTTTGTAATATATATATATATATATATATATATATATATATATACTCTTGTTTAAGATGTCATGTTTATGCAATTCATTTAGAATGTACTGGATAATTAAAAACTACAGATTGATAATTAGTCTTCTATGATAGTCAAACTTATATTCATGTTAATTTTTCTTGGTATACATAGACATATTGCAGTTAGGTAGGTAATATCCAAACACTTCTAAGACCTACAGAATATGGCATTTTTTATATTTTTAGACTTTCTGGAGAATGAGACATCTCTGATTCTGGCACCACCAAAGTATTTAATAGGGGAGGATGGGCATGGAAGACACTCCGTATGGATTTTATGTTCTTCTTGGCAAAAATAGCCCTTTGGGCAAGAAACTGTTCTTTCCTGTACTAATTGATAAAATATATGACTCCATGTGCAGGAAATATAGGAAGGTGACCACTGAAATTTGTTTGGCAAAACAGTACTTTAGGTTTCTGTTTCATCACGGTAACTGCCAGACATTCTACAGGACACAGAGAGAAATGACTGAAAAATGGCAGAGGTGGCACATGCCTTTTATCCCAGCTGTAGGAAGGCAGAGGCAGTTGTGAGTTCGAGGCCAGCATGGTCTCCAAAGAAAGTTCCAGGAAAGGCAAAAAGTAACACAGAAAAACCCTGTCTTAAAAAATGAAGAGAGAGAGAGAGAGAGAGAGAGAGAGAGAGAGAGAGAGAGAGAGAGAAATGACTGAGAGACTCTAGGCCTGTGGGCTGAAGACAGATACCCCATCTGTATAAAGGAACATTGGATGACAGTCTAGGCTAGCAGCTGTCTCTGGCTACTCTCACAAAACCCCTGAAAGTTACTTTCATCATTTTCCCATTTCTCAGGTAATAGCATACTCTTCTGATGTCTTTGATGTAGTTGAAGACTAGATAGTTATACTTTTCCTTAGTTATGATAAAAGATAATTTAGATAGGGAACATTAGACTCACATATATAGAGGATAGATATGTTATCTTCCA